TTGACAGCTCTTTAAAAGTGAAGTTTTCACAGTTTTAAACGTACTAGTTGTAACTGTTTTACATAATTTGTAAATAAAAGAATTTCTGAAACTCCTGTGCTCGCGCTCTCTTCTGCTGTAGAAGTGGGTTTCCCAGGCTGCACCCTTCCTGGAGGATTTCTCAGACGCGCCCTGTGGGGTGGAACGTCGTCCCACGCTCTCGCTCCGGCCACTGCATGGGCCCGGTTTGTGTCTCCAGAGGCTGTCGAGATGGGAGTGGGTTTAGCTCCCACGTCGGAATCCAGAGACTTGGGCTCCAGCAGGGTAATGGCGGGTCAGAGGCCGGAGCTGTCTTGGAAGGATGCGTCGGTGTTAGGAAGGTGGTGTCTTCCCTCGCCTTAGCGCCAAGGAAGCCCTGGACGCCAAGGAAGAGAACGCGGACACACCCGCCATGACCCTGCCTGTAGACCGCTGAACTACCATGTACGTGCTCATTGCTGCTGGGCTGGCCAGACCTGGGGGGCCATGGTGACCTCGAACAAGTTTTGACCCCGGCCCAACCCCTGCTGGTGTGGGTGGCGCTGGCTCTTCAGCTCTGTAGTTGGGGTCATTCAGCTGTGTTTTCAGGTCCGAACTTCATGACCTGATGACCTGATCTCTGACTTGTATCAATGTGCAGGAGCGACTTCCTGTGTCTGCACCAGTGCAGGCTGTCACCCAGGACCGTGTGTCTGGCACACGGGTCTGCTGCCAGAGCCGCAGGCGCAGCCTTGCTGTGTTGACAGTGCAGTGTGGTCCCTGGAGGCAGACCTCAGTGGAATAATTGAGTGCGGCATTGAACAGTAAATATGCTCAGGCCCTGGGCGTGGTGCAGACGACAGCGTGGGCGTGGGGCCAAAAATCACTTTGTAGTCATCAGACCAGAAGGTCATTTCAAGGTTGCTTTAGAAATGCATCTTTGGGGAAAAAGCATTCACAGCTGAAATTATTTCACTAAATGTTTGTTGGTGGTGTCTGTCCCCCTTTGGTGGAAAAGCTCCAAGGCCATGGCTGGTGCAGATCTCAGGCAGGCTCACCTGTAGAGCAGGTGAGGCACCTTGGGTTCCCATGGCATCAGAGCAGAGCATAGATATAAAAGCGTGGCCCAGTGTCTGGATCCTGTCCCTGCGTGCCCAGTGTGCAGCCAGACTACCTCCCGGGGCCTGGGCCACCCAGCTATAGGAGGCTCACCCAAACCACATGAGCAGTCCCAGCATCCCTGAGAACTAGGGACCAGCTGGGCCCCCAGGGCCTGTTGATGTCACTGGGCGGGGCCGGGCTGACGCACTGACGGGCTCCGTAGCTTGGATAGCAGGGAACAAGGCACAGCCCCAGCCAGCTGCATGCCTGCCCTCCCCACTGCCGGTCCCTCGCCAGCCCGGGGCAGCCCCGCCATGAGGGAGGTGGAACCCAAGGACCAGCAGCTCATGGTGAGTGTCCCTCATGTCCCTGGCGGCCTTCGGTCTGTGTGTCGCTGAGGCTGCCTCCTCCCTGTTTGTGAGGGAAGTGACCCTCTGCTCCCCCACCTCCTCACTTCAAGCTTCCAGACACGCCCACATCCCCCTGCCCTCTGGCTTCCCAGGGAACTCTGGGCCTGCACCAGGACCCCTGGACGGGATGTGGTAGGCTCCCCCGCCGTGACTCCACCCAGGCCCTACAAGGCTTGGCAAAACCTGTCTGCCGGGTGACCAGGACCTCAGCCCATTTGACCACTGGGTGAGCTGGGGCCAAGGCCTTGCCTGTGACCTATAGCCTGGCTACAAAGGGACCCTGTTGTGGCTGCCCTCAGGGAGAACCACAGCTTCTGCTTCTCCAGGAGGCACTGGCCCGCCTTATGGGAGAGGAAGCAGAGCCCAGAGGCTTGTGCAGGCTGGCTGGGCCCACAGCTCATAGGGATGCTGATGAAGGAGGATTCGGGCCTGGGGTCCCCAGTGTGTGGCAGGGGCGGGCAGAGCGGTGGACAGCAGGCCGTGGCCGCCTCCTGTGGCCTGTGAGAAGGTCGGTCCCTTCTGGTGTGAGGAAGCAGTAGCGACTGGTGAGGGGTTAGGCCACGCAGCCACTGTGCAGCCTTGGGCAGGTGTCTCGGTCTCCCCGCTGGCGAGGGTGACCACGATCACAGTGGGCCTCTGTGTCACCGTGGGACAGGAACGAGTTCCTGCCATTCCTTGAGAAGTTAACGCCTGGCAGGGCGTGTGGGGTTCAGGGCCCTTAACTGCTCTACTGAGAGCTGAGCACACGGGAGGGAGGAGGGGAGGAAGAATGGGGGACCGAGGCCCCTGGACGCAGTTGTGTGATGTCTGCCCACAGGTAGCACTGCGGATACGCCCACTCAACGACACAGAGCTGGAGGAAGGAGCCGCCGTCATCGCCCACAAAGTAGGGGACCAGGTGAGGCTGTGAGGGCACAGAGAATGTCACCCTTCCCGGAGTACTTCACCTACGTCACTCACTCACTCGTTCACTGACTCATTTATTCATTCACTCATTCGCTCATTCACTAGTTCATTGAAGAAATGTTAATATCGAGTGCTCAGAGGCTGGGCACTGCTCCAGACACTGAGGGAGACGAGGGCCCACCCCCACCAAGCTTCCTTTTTAAGAAAGGTGGGTGGAGTTAGGGGTTGAACAATGAACAGATAAATGTGTAATGTCAAGGAGTTCAGTGCCACAGAGAGGAATAGAGCAGAGCAACGGTGGTCGCAGAAGGCCACTAATGAGACGTTTGCACGGCGCCGAGGGTTGCTGGGAGGACGCAGCAGTCTCCTGGGAGAGGGTGGTGCAGACAGAGTGGGGGGCGTGCTCCTGCCCTGACCCCGCAGGACGGGGCTTGGCTAAGGTTGGGGCACGGCCTGGGCTACACCTGTGGTTTTGAAAAGGCCCAGGTGACTGGGCGGCAGGGTCGCGGGCTGGGGACCCAGCATGCTGCTGTGGTGCCAAGGGTTCCTGCCCCTCGGGAACAGGCTCAGAAGCTGAGCCCAGTGCAGTTTAGAAATGTCGGTCGTTATCTGCCAGAACATAGGGCAAATTTGGGGTAAAACAATATGATGTCAAGTGAATTGGTTTCCCGTTTGTCGTGAGAAAGCCAGTGGTCATGAGGAATGGTTCGTAGGTCTTCAGAGCATGTCTGCACTCAGGCAGAGGCCCCAAGATGCTGGGGCCCAGGGCAGACGCAAGGCTGGGTGTCAGCCTTCCGGAGTGGGCAGAGAGGCCGGGTGGGTTCGCGCCGAGCTCATGCCAATGAAGCATTAAAATAAGGCAGTCGTTACATTGAGGGGCGGAGGTTTGCAGGAAGGCGCTGGCTCGGCGGCAGAGAGTGTTCTCAGCGCGGAGACAGTCTGCCTGGCGGGATTCGTGGCCGAGCCTCACGGGGAGGCAGGAGCGTGGAGTGACTCCTCCAGATGCTGCAGAGGGGGACAGACAAAGACTCAGGGCGCAGACACCCCAAAGGGTCAGCCTCGGGCTGGGGCCGCAGGGCAGGGCAGGGTGTTCTCTACGCAGGCTTACAAGGCTCGATGCTCTGCACGTCCCCCTCACTGGGGAAGATGCCGTGGGGAGGGGTGGGGGGCAGAGCCATCTGAAGCCCCTCCAGGGCTAACGGTGATCTGCTGAAATTGGTGGCGGCTCTCACGGTTGTGTCACTAGTCCCTGAGTCTTAGCGCTTCGTCCGTGGCGGGGGCCGAGCCCCTCTCAGGAAGCTCTGTCGCCCCTGGGTGCTGGTCCTATGCTATGACAGGGGCTTCGGCCACACCCACGTTGAGCCACAACGCCCCTTTTGTCTTGCTTCCTGCTGTTTGCTGGTCACACACCTGCAAGGTAACCAACTCACACCTGAAACAGTGTCACCTCAGCGTGCAGCCCGCTGGCCTCATCCTGGGCGGCCCGGTGGACATCGAGGTTGCCAGTGATTTCTTAAGCTCAGGATGCCTTTCTGCTTAGAGTGAGAATTGCTCCCTGTTTGCTGGCTTTGGGAGTCAGGTGACTTTAGGGAAATAGAAGGGCCCTTCTGGAGGGCGGGGGAGGCGGGAAGGGCGTGGGCCGAGGGAGCTGAAATGAAGCCGGCGATGGGAAGTGATTTTACAAGCTGCGGCATCCGGTTCCCAGCTGGGGCCCTTTGGAAGTCTGAGGACTGTTGGGACGTGTTCAGTGTGCAGTGGGGTGTGTGCGCGGGTGACAGTGGACGGTTACAGGTGCCCTGGGACCCCCTCCAGCTGCACCCCGACCCCTGTGCCACTGTCTGGTCTCTCCTCTGTGTGTGTGGGCAGGAGTGTCTCAAGAGCCCACCTCAGGCCTGGCTCCCAAACCAAAGGCTGTCTTGCTGTACATCGTGCAGAAGACAGCCCACTCTTTAAAAATTGGAGGTGAAATTCACAATATTTAAAATACACCATTTTAAAGTGAACAATTCAGTGGCATTTAGCACATTCGCAGTGTCGTGCAACCACACTTCTGTCTGGTTCCAAAATGTTTTCATCCTCCCAAAAAGAGACCCACACCCATTAAGCAGTTGCCTCCCCCGCCATTCCCCAGCCCCCAGTGGCCGCGTCCTGCCTGCATGGGCGTGTCCCACAAATGGAATCATACAGTTGCCTCTGTCATATTTCCCTGAGCACGTTTCGGGGACTCATCCATGTTGAAGCACTTTCTTTTAACTTTTCATTCTGAAGTAACTTCAGACTAATCAGAGAGCTGCACGTCCCCTGCAGAGAGCTCCGGACCGTGCGCCCAGGTGCCCGCACGTCTCCTCGCTCCCTCTGTTCACACACGCCCTTCACGGGGCCACTCAGAGGGAACGGGACAAGTCGCTCCTCCACACCCAAGTATTCCAAGGTGTGTTTCTTAAAAACAAGAACATTCTGTGACCCCAGTACAGTGATTAGTCAGGAAATTAATATCGATACAGCATTATCTTATCTACAGATGTATCGAATTTTGCTGATTTCTCTCTATAATGTTATTTATAGCCAAAGGAAAAAAAACCCTTTTTCTGTTCCACGACCCCATGCAGCTGGCTCTTTTTGAACACGCTTTGTTCAGCGTTGTGCACGTGCTGCCATTTACCCTTCAGAGCGAGGGTTCTATGATTACACCCATTTTACGGATGAAGAAGCCGAGGCCCAGAGAGGCGAGGGAACTTGTCTCAGGCCTCCCGGCTGCAGATCGGTGAGGACTGGGAACGAGGCGGCAGGCTCTGGAGCCCGAGTTCTTAGCCACCAGGCTCACTTGCTGGGGCTGGGTTGGGAGCCCTCCAGCAGGGACGTGTCCAGTGTCCCCTGCAGCGCAGGCCTGGCCCGCAGCGAGCATGTGGGGGACTGCCACTGAGTCTTCATCACTGGAAGGAGAGGAGAGTTGGCTTATGTCATGGAAAAAAGTGCTGGCCAAAAGCCAGGGCGGCCTGGGGGCTTCTCCCAGCCAGCCCGACACCCCAGGAACCTCTGGGCACCCCTCGCTTCCTGGGACCTGTTTCCAAAGCTGTGGACCCAGGGAGGGGCTGGTGGCGGTGGCAGGTGGTGGTGGCAGGGCTCCTGGTTGGCCCTCTGCCCCCACCAGCCCAGGAGTAAACAGCAGTTGGTCTCTAACTGCCCCGCCCTCCAGTCCCCTGTGAAGGGCTCTTTTGAACCTCCCCTGTGGGCCCCAGAGGCCCTTGCACACCTTGCTTCATAATTACCCATTTGTGGGAGACAGGGGAGGGCCCTGGAGGGGCAACCGAGGCCTCAGACAAACACAGAACCAGCTACAGGGCTCAGGGCCCTTTCCTCCTCCAGGCCCCGGGCACCCTGACTTCTCCATTCTCCCCTCTCTGTTGGGTGGCACGGCCCCTGAGCAAGAGGCAGGCAGCTGGGTCACAGTCATGCTCAGGGCTGCGTGGGGAGTGTGCCACACTCTCCAGTTTACAAAGCCCCTTGCCATCACTCACAGTCGCAAGGAGCTGGCCTGCCCTGCCTCTGTGGGCAGCCCCCTGCTGAAGCCCCCTCTCCCTCCTCCTAGATGGCGGTGCTCATGGACCCCAGTGAGGACGCCGAGGACACGCTGCGCACACACCGGTCCCGGGAGAAGACCTTCATCTTCGACGTTGTTTTCGACCAGCATGCATCACAGGTACCCTCCATACCACCACCACCATGTCCCTGGCTGGGCCAGGCTGCGTGGGTGTCCTCACCAAGCCCTAGAGCCCCCTTGGGAGGACCTGGTGGCCAGGTGGGCTCATCTATGACTTCTCATAGGGGCTTCTCTCTGCTCAAGAAGGTTGGCAGGGCTTTACACGTCTCCTTCACCCACCCACACGTCTAGTTCTCATCCATCCACGCAGCTGCCCACCCGTCCATCAACCCATCCATCCCTCATCCATTCCCCCCACCTACACTCGTCCACCCATCCTCCCGTCCACCCATCCATCTATCCACCCATCTACCCATCCATCCATCTACCCACCCATCTACCCATCCATACATCCACCCATCTATCCATCCATCCACCCATCTACCCATCCATCCACCCATCTACCCACCCATCTACCTACCCATCTATCCATCCATCCACCCATCTATCTACCCATCCACCCATCCACCCACCCATTTACCTACCCGTCTATCCATCCATCGGTCCATCCATCCATCCATCACCCCATCTATCCACCCATCCATATATTTGTCTATTGTCCATCTATCCAACCATCCACCCTTCGTCCATATGTCTGTTTGTCATCCACCCATCCACTCACCCATCTAACACAGTAGTGTCCCATCTGCCTTGTAGCTAGAACACACTCCCTGCCCCCAGGGCTCACATCCCAATGAGGGAGACAGACAGTAATAAGCAGGTCTAAGCAAACATATTAGTCTGAGTGCGTTGTGCAGACGGTGGGGTAGGTGGTGGGGAGCGGAGGCCTTTTTGGGTAGAAGTGATGTTTCAGCTGAGACCTGAAGGAAGAACGAGCCAGCCGTGAGAGCAGAGGAAAGAGGGGCCGGGTGGAGGCTTCGACATGCCCATCGCAGAGGTGGAGCCTGAGGCTCCACGAGCTCACACAGTGAGGCCAGAACTGGGCGCTTGGACCCAGTATCAGGTCATACTCCTCACCAGTACGCTCGACCAAGGACAAAAAGCTGTCCAGCAAGTCACCCAACCCTCACCTCACATTACAGAGGGGAGCTCAGGGCAGTGTGACACAGAGTAAAGGACACTCACTCCTGAGCTCTGCATGGCGGGATTGCAGCCCAGGCCCCCTGATGCGGGAATGTCACATCACCAGGCGGATGACGTCTGGGGGCTGTTTGGCCCCAGGACAAAGGCCAGTGAGGGACGCATGTCAACTCCAGCCCTGTACCCAGAGGACCTCCCCTTCCCACGCGAGGTGGGCCCAGGGACTCCCCGCATTCCGCACCATAGCTTCAGCGGCCATGCAGCCACGGGCACTGCTTGTCCCCTAGTTCTCGACTGCAGCCGCACGAGTCTCCCCAGAGCCACTGCTCGTTCCCATCTGTCATGTTTCTGTGGGCCGCCAGGGAGCAGGCGGGCAGGCCACGTAGTTTTCGACATGATGGGGAGAGAGGGCTGGAGCCGCCTGAGGGCCCGTGCCAAAGCTGCACGCCGTCCTGCACCAGCCCCGGAGGAGCCCTTCCCAAATACCCCAGAGAACAGGGAGCTCGCTGCGCACCCACTCCTGTCATGACGTGCTGCTGCCTTAAATTAATTCTGCTGGCCCAGAGCGTTCACTCCCGGTTCTGGTTTTGTCCCGTAAAGATGAGTCATAGTGCCCTTCATGGATTTCCAAGCCCTGTTGCTGTCTGCCAGCCCTTTGCATTCTCTGATTTCTCCCAGTTCTTGCAGAAGCCTGGAAAGGACTCACAGGTGTTTAGTACCACGCCTGCGTCGGGCCTCATGGTAGGAGCTGTCACGTACATCCTCTAGTCACCCCCTCGCGGCCACCCTCTCATAGCGTGAGGCTTGGCCTGGTGGGGAAGCATGCCGGAGCTAGCACAGACACAGGGCCAAGGCCGAGGGCCGGAGCCAGAATGGGCGACGCCCACGCCGTGTCTAAGCTGCCCCCTCCGCGTAGGTCCCTGTCCAGCTGCAGAGACGATAGCCGTCGGCAGGCACCACCTACCATTCCTCTCCAAACAGCCAGGTGCCCGACTCCGGCAGGGTTGTCTACTGGACTGTCTGCCCCTCTGTCTGTCCACAGGAAGACGTGTACTGCGCCACCACCCAGCACCTAGTGGAAGGCGTCATTTCTGGATACAATGCGACCGTGTTTGCCTACGGCCCCTCAGGTACTGCCAGGGGCAGCATCCCGAGGAGGGAATGGGGCAGGCGGCAGCGGACTCGCCCGCAGCTCGCAGCACCAGCTGCCCTGCGCCGGCCGCTCTGTGCCCGTCGGCTCTTTCCAGCAGCAGCCCCAGAAGGCAGATGGATTGGGTCCCTTCTCACGGCGCCTCTCCCAGGTCACAGCCTCTCCCAGGTTGCACAGCTGATGGGGCTGAATAGGGAATCCAACCACCAGCCTACACTGTGCCGCCCACCGGAAGCCCAGATTCCTCTCTGCAGTCTCAAGCTGAGATAGACAAATGTTTGCAAAGCTAAGCTGCCTCTCTCCTCTTGAAAACTAGGATCACAGAGGGTCAGAGCCGGATGGGCCCGAGCGCCTCGCTGTGCCAGTGGAGAAACTGAGGCACTGGGAAGTGGCTTGCCTTCAGCCACAGCTTGTTTATTTCACTCACTCAGCAGCTGTCAGCCAGCTCCTGCTATGTGCCAGGCCCTAGGCACACAGGGAATGGCCAGTGCAGTGTCCCCCATGAAGAGACACTCCTTAAAAAGCGTGGCGCATTATTTCTCCTTGTAAAACAGCACGGACACCCCGACAAGAATCTGGAGCCAGCAGAGCGGCCAGGCCCATCCCCGCCCCCCCACACCCTGAGCACGCTCACCCCACACCGTGTCCGCCCAGGCTTTCTTCCACAGAGCGGCCACGGGACTGTCCAGACACCTCATTTCCTTGTTTCTCAAACGGAAAGTGAGCGTGTCAGGGCTGCCGGGGATCGGGGGTGGGCGGGGGGTGTCCTGCGGAAGGCAGGGTCTGCACAGCCTGGTGGCGGGCGTGGCAGGGCGGGGTCTGGGCCATCAGGAGCCCTGCCTACTCCCACAGGCGCGGGGAAGACCCACACCATGCTGGGGATGGACGCGGAGCCGGGCATCTACCTGCGCACCCTCACGGACCTCTTCCGGGCCATCGAGGAGGCCCGTGACAACATGGACTACAGCGTGTCCATGTCGTACCTCGAGGTGAGCTGCCCGCCGCCTCGGGGGCCTTGCCTGCAGCGCGGGTGTGCTCCCCTCGAACGCCCACTGGTCTTTGCGGCCTCCCACCTCAGAGCGGCTGAGATTCTTGGAAGATGCAGAGCCGCAGTGATTCGTGAGTCTGCGCTTGTTTTCCACCGAAGCTTCCAGGCTTCCACTTTTCTGTCTCGTCCCAGATTTACAACGAAGTGATCCGGGACCTCCTGAACCCGTCCTCCGGCTTTCTGGACCTGAGGGAAGATTCCAGGGGCAGCATCCAGATTGCAGGCATCACAGAGGTGTCCACCTCCAACGCCCAGGAGGTGAGGGTCATGGCGGCCATGCTCACGAGGCCCTCCTTTCAAGTTCACAGAGCGGAGCCAGACACACGGCCCAGAGCCGTTTCCCAGCTCGGGACAGCAGACATCTGCACCCATAGCCGCTCAGGGCAGACATCAAGAGCCGGTCACACTCGTCCCTCTGCGCCCGGGAGCAGGCTCGGAACCCTTGTCTGTGCAGCACTCCCACGGTCACAGCCAGAGCCAGCCCCCGGCCATGCTTAGCCCTGAGTGTTGCTCCAGAGCAGGGCGATGCATGAGCGCTTCTGCAGGCACTGCGGCTTCTCTTACCTCCGGTCTCCCCCTGTGCCACCCACACTCCACCCCGCCCTCGGGGGGCCTCCCCACCTGCTCAGGAACCTCCGTGTTGTCCCCAGAACCATGGACCCCTTGGGCCCCTACCCCGTGATGACCATGTGCTCCAGCCCTGCTGGCGGATGGCGTCCAGGTGGCCTCAGCGTCATCCTTTGTGGGTTTGGGGCGGGGAAGGGGAGCCTTCTTGCCTGGTCTTTAACAAGGACCATGTCAGGCTACCACCGGCACAGTCTGCACACAGTAGGTGCTCAGCAGAGGCTCGTGGGCTTGGTTCCCACAGCTGCTTGCTTGCAAATGGGTTTTGGGGCACCCGGCAGCTCCATACGACTGTCTGGGGCTGCCCCGGGCTCTGGGGAAGAGTTGGGTAATCCCTTGGTGATGTCTGCCACAGGCAGAGGACAGGGAAGGTGCGACACACATGTCAGCAATCTGCCGTTCCTGCTGGGTTTGTTGACTCTTCATGCCGCAAACCAGAAGTCGCTTCCCCTGCACGAGGTTCTGTCATCGGTGTCCCAGCCATGGGGCCAAGGGAGAGCGCTCAGAGGAGCGTGGCCCCCGCTCTCGCCCAGTGCTCTGGAGGGAGCGTGGGGCCGTTCCTGGCCCTGATCGCCTGCTTCTGCCTCTGTCCTCAGATCATGCAGCTCCTCACCAGAGGCAACCGGCAGCGCACCCAGGAGCCCACGGCCACCAACAAGACGTCGTCACGCTCCCACGCCGTGCTGCAGGTCACCGTGCGCCAGCAGCGTCGCGGCTCGGACTTGGCGGAGGAAGTGCGCGTCGGGAGGCTGTTCATGGTGGACCTGGCCGGCTCGGAGCGCGCGTCCCAGGTGTCGTCCCGACACGCCTCCCGCCCCTCCTCCCTTGTCACCACCACTCACCTCGTGTCATCTGCCCTTCAGTCGGGGGGCGGGACCCTGTCCACCTGTGTCCAGCAGCATCTCCAGCGCCTACAAGAGCACCTGGCTCGGAGAGGCTCCCGCTAGCCGCCTGTTGATTGAATGAATCCTCAACAAACCTGGGGTGGCACAGCCACCGAGCAGAGCTCACACAGGGCTTCCTGCGGCAGGGCCCTGGGAATTAGAGGCCCAGGCCCGCCCTCAGGGAGCTCAGAGCCGCAGGGGTCGGGGGACAGACGTGTGAGCAGATAGCTACAGGATGGGGAGGCCTGTGCTTTGAGATTCGAGGCTGCGGGAGCCCAGAGGAGGGCAGGTGGCAATGGTGTCCAGCGCTGAGCCTGAGGGGGCATGAGGAACTCAGTGGACTGCACGGGAGAGCACATCAGGCAGAGAGGACGGCGGGTGTGAAGTGTGCCTGCGGAGAGGATGGTGCACTTACTGTGACCCAGCATGGCTGCTGGCCTGACACCCCCCCTGGGCCCCGCCTGCCGGCCCCCAAGCCCTCAGCTCACCCGTACCTGTCACTGGGAGCGGAGGCCGTGCCCGCTGTCTGCTGCCCTTGTGCCTGAGCATTCCACGAGGGCAGGATCCAGCCCAGGGCCTGGGTCAGACAAGGCGCTTGACAGAGGTGGTGTCAGAATAACAGCATCAACCGGCGACACCTTTCACGTCCCTCTGGCACGCCAGGCACTCGGCCGTCAGGATCCACCCAGTCCCTGTCACAGAGCGAGTAGGCAGCGCCGAGCCTTCTTCCCAGATACACAGAAGCATTAGGTGATCCAGGCGCAAATCTGTGCCTTTCACCCCAGTTTGCGTCGCCTGTTCTGCCTGCTGATTGTGGAGTCGCGTCACTCACTTGGTCACCTGCCCTGCGCCTGGCCCAGCCTGGTGCTTGGGCTGCTGAGACAAGCTGCGCCTGCTCAGGTCTGACTGGTTAAAATGAGGTGTGTGCATGGACGATGAGGCCAGCAGATCGGGGGCCGCCGGCCGTTGAGATCATTTTTACTCACAGTTCCCAGGAGGAGGGGCCCCGCCACGCTAGGCAGGACCCCCCGGGGAGCGCCAGGGCCTCTCGGGAGTGGGAGGACCGTGGACGAGCCCCTTCATGGTGATTTCTACGGGAAGAATGGGCGAGGAGGGATGACCCGGCTGGGCTGGTGGGTGACTCCCCTGGGCTCTGGCCACAGGTCTGTCCCCGATTGCCTGGTACCCAGCGCTGGGTGAGAGGTGCACAGTGGCCAGACTGGGGTAGGCGGGCTCGGGGCAGGTGGGTTTCCGTCTGAGAGGTTAGTAAGTGGTTCGCTCTCTAAGCCCCGGGTGACCCTGGAGGGGCGGTCCCCGCATGGGCAGCAGGGCCACAGATGTCAGGGCGTCGGACGCAGAGACTCTAAGACAGGGTTGACACGCAGGCAGATGTGGGAGAAGACAAGCTCACAGGGAAGAAGCGAGTGTGGTGGAGGAGACCGCTCTGGGACCCTGAGCAGGACCTGGGGCTCTAGCCTGTCCCCTCTGGGCTTGTCCTTGGAAGGCAAGGTAGAGACCAGCTTCCTCTGGAAGAGGCCGCCAGACAGGATCCAGGCCCTGGGCCCTCGTTCTCACCCTGCCGCAACTGGCCGTGTGCCTTTGGGGAGACCACTGCCCCCTCTGGGCCTGGCGTCTTTAGCTGTATACTCGGGTGGCCTAGTGGGCTGTCTTTAGGATCTGCTAGACTCTTGTGGGCTGTCACTTCCTCACAGAAAATCACAGAGTTTTATCCAAGGCAGGAGGTCTCAGAGAAAGCCCTCTACATCTGTGATACAGACGTGACTCGAGCAGGCGCCCTGGCTCCCATCCCGCACCAGCTCCTGCCTAGCGAGAGCATCCACTGACACGCACTGCTGTTGGCCCAGCGCTGTGCACACGACCCATCATCTCTCATTGTAGCCCTGTGGAGTCGGACCGCTGTCCCTTTCTGCAAACGAGGGTGCTGAGGCAGGCTGGGAGGTCTTTTCGAGCAGTGTAGGCCACTCTCAAACCGTGCTCCAAACTGGCTCTAAAACCCAGGTCCTGAACGAGAAAACATTAGGTAAACACACGCATCATATTCCTATTGTCAGAGGGATTGTTCTGCAGACCTCTCTGACTCAGTTTTATCTGAAGCACTTGTCCTGGTGCTTCAGGGAACAGCCAGTGCACACAGAGCCTGAGCACCCAGTGGGACGGGGTTGTTGCACCTGGGCCTCAGTCCTCTCTCCGGTGGCCCAGGGTGGGCAGATGGCAGGTGGGAAGGACCACCTTCCCTCCAGCCCGGCCTCTCCCCGCACAGGCCCAGAACCGCGGCAAGAGGATGCAGGAGGGCGCACACATCAACCGCTCCCTGCTGGCCCTGGGCAACTGCATCAACGCGCTCAGCGAGAAGGGCGGCGGCCGGGCACAGTATGTGAACTTCCGGGACAGCAAACTCACGCGCCTGCTGAAGGTACGAGCCCCGAGCCGGGTGTGAGTGTGTGTGCATGTGTGTATGCGCGCGTTGTGCGCATGCGTGCGTGCATTACATGCAGTGTGTGCGTGAGTGTGCGTCCATGCATTGTGGTGCATGTATGTGTATGCCTTGCACACGTGCGCAATGCATCCTACATGCATACATGTGTGCGTGCATGTGTGCATCGTGCACAGCACGTGCATGTGTGCATATGTGTGCATGCGGGTGTGCACACGTGCATGTGTGTGTGTGCTGCTCCTGTGGCTGGCTGCATCTTCAGGATTTACCTGACTGGTTTGAGGCCCCGACCTGGGTCCTTAGGGTCCTTTCAGGAACTTCTGAAGGAAGAAATCATGGTAGAAACCATTGCTAGTCACTGCCTGACTACCCCCACCATCCCGCTGAGTGTGGCCTAGCCCATGCTTGCATATTCCTAGGACAGGGAGCTCACTGCCTAACCGAGGCTGCCCGCCCATTGCAGACGGTCTGACTGAGGAGACGCCCCTTTCTACTGGGCTGAGCGAGCGCTGTCACTTCTCTTCTACAGCACGGCAGGCTCTGATAAACAAAGCAAGGAAGGAATGTCCCTGCACATTTGGCCTCTTGGTCTAATCTGCCCACATAAGAGCAGAAGTCAGGTCGGGTGGGCCTGGAAGGGGTCCCACCCCTCCGTGAGCATCCCCACCCCGAGCACTGAGCCCTTGGTCTCTTCTCAGGGTTTGGCCAGTGGGTGATGGGTGGCAGCACCGGGTAGGTAGGGGTCTATTCACATCACCCAGCTTGTGCCCCCCACTGACAGGATGCCCTAGGAGGGAACAGCCGGACGGTGATGGTCGCCCACATCAGCCCAGCCAGCACGCACTTCGAGGAGTCACGGACCACCCTGCTGTACGCCTACAGAGCCAAGAACATCAAGACCAGGGTGCGCCGCCCTCCCGTCCCCGCACGTGCTCTCCCACACAGCGCTCCCTCCAGCCGGTCTCGGGAGGGTCCTGGCTTGTCCCTTCCTGCTGCGGTGGCTCCTGGATGCCTTGGCTTGTGGCTCCTCCCTCCTTACAGGGCTCGCTCGTGTCTCCGTACCTCCTTTCTCCCTGATGAGGACGCTGGCATTGGGCTCAGGGCCCTCTCCAGCCCCTCGTCCAGGAGGACCTTGTCTCCATAGCCTTCATCATATCTGCAAAGACCCTTTCTCCAGACAAGGCCCCATCCACAGGGTCCAGGGTGTTAGGACATGGGCTATCTCTGTGCCTGGCATGCTGTAAACTCTCCATGTGACAGTGAACTTCGTTCTCAATGACCTTCTCCTCGGGAGGTGGGTCCAGCCACCACCCCATTTTACAGACCAGGCACAGAGAGAAAGCAGCGTCTCCAACCTTCTGTAGCCAGAGCAGAGCGGGCTCGGGGGCCCGGTGTGCACACCTAGGGCTGCTGCACCGGTCTGTCTACACCACTGGCCCCGGTCGAAGCGTTCTTCTCTTGAGGCTGAGAACTCAGTGAAGTAATTGCACGTCAGCCACTTAGCACCCCAGTGACTGGAGGTCGACATGTGACAAGTGCTATTCTATTGTTATTGTCATCTGTCCACAAATGCGATGAGCCCTCTGCATTGCCCACCTCTGAGCTGGGCTCCATGATAAAACTTAAAGGATGGAGCCTCTGTTCTCCCCCAAAGCCTGAGCTTAGCAGTGGGGAGAGGCAGCTATGAAACTGGATCTCACACAAATAAATACACCATTTCTCGCTGTAGTAAGTGCTCTGAATGAGGGCCACAGGGCGCTGGAAGAGAGGACAGCTGAGATGAGCAAATCCAGAGGGCCTCTTGCTGAGGGGGACCGGGCCGCGCTAGGAAGCAAGCCCTGAGCGATGAGAGGAGCACTTCGCCCAGTGTAGCAGTGTGACCCTCCACATCTGCCAGAAACATGGGCCCTGTGCTCAAGGAGGTCGTGTCACTGGAGAGCCCCGAAGTGCCACGCATGGGGATGGACACGCAGGCCGTCCCTCCCACGGACCACTATGCAGCTGCTACAGAGATTGGGGTGGAACCTCCTGTGCAGATGGCCAGCCCCCGAGATACACTGGCGGATGGGAAAAAGCAAATGCAAGAATAGTAGCTACAGTCTGATATAAATTACATAAAACCCCAGTGCCAACCCCACACTGAAGGAGCTCCCCGTGTGTGCCTGGGGGCACATACACGTACAAACCCACACGGTGAAGGGCCGGGCAGGCCTGCATCGGAACCACAGCGGTGGGCACCCACGGTGGAGCACAAAAACATCACTACAGTCCAGCTCCACACCAAAAAAGCTTTGATGGGTCGTTCGAATTTTTTATTGTGGCCAAATACGTACAACGTAAAATGCATCAGTTTAAGCACATACGGTTCAGGGGCAGCAAGCACATCCACGCTGCTGTGTAGCCGTCACCACCACCCCTCCAGAAACGTCCCATCTTCCCAAACTGAGACTGTCCTCATCAAACCCCACCCCGTCCTCAGCCCTGGGCATCTGCCCTTCCCTTCCTGTGTGTGCACCTCACTCCTCTAGGTCCTCATACACGTGCAGTCACACGGTGCGTGCCCTTCTGTGAGCGGTTGTCTCCTTCAGCGCACTGTCCCCAGGTCCATCCGTCCTTTCTAAGGCTGACTAGTGCTAATTTGAATTTCCATGGCAGGTGTCTGGGTGTTTCTGGTGTAGCCTGGTCGCTGTCGGGCGTGTCCTCGTGCGGCAGCCCCTCTGGCCTGACCGTGGCCCGTGTCCTGCCCACGCAGGTCAAGCGCAACCTGCTGAGCGTGTCCTACCACATTGCCCAGTACACGGACGTCATCTCCGACCTGCGTGGGAAGATCGAGCGCCTTAAGTCCAAAATCGAGAGGCAGGAGCAGGAGAAGAAAAGAGAGCCCGGCGTCCGGGACGCACGAGGTAGAGCCCGGCGCGGGCCTGGGGCCGCTGGGGGCCGCGAGCGCCAGGAGCAGACAGGCCCCTTGCTAGCGCATGGAGAGGCCGTGGCGGGAAGGAGGCTGGAGGGTTGGCGGCCAGGGCGTGGGTCCGTGGTGACGGGAGGCCAGTGTGACCGGAGCCCCACGCGCCGGGAGCGCCTCGAGGTCTGCGGCTGTCGGCCGTCAGGGGAGCGAGGCTGAGGCCGCTGCATGCTCGTCTCCCCTCCGCTGATGTGTGGGCGAAGGGCTCTCCCTGGCCGGGGTTCGCCTGACGAACATGACAGGAGTTGAGGCGTTGAAGGGGGAGGCCAGGGAGACTTCAGTGGTCAGCTGTGACCTCCAAGTGAAGGGGGGCTGCAGACATCTGCGGAAGGACAAAGAACAGCATAGCCAGCCGGCGAGGGACCCTGCGCCCTCTCCCCCACCCCCACGCGCTCCCCAGTCCTACTGCCGGACTCACACTCCAGGCAGAAAGGTCGGCACGATCCCTCCAAAAACGAGTTTTCACAAAAACGTCACTACAGTCCAGCTCCACACCAAAAACATGCTACCAGTAACCTGGTCACGGCATCAGCCAGCCAGTCAGTGTTCGAATTCCCAGAACCTCAGCGGCACCGTGCACCTCTCCCGGACGCTTGTGACGTTTCTGAATGGGGGTCCCGGAGTGGTCTGCGCCTGGCGTGTGGCCCACAGATCTTTCAAGTCTCTTCTCCCGCAGGCCTCCCCGCCCTCTTTTTCCTGTCCACCCATTTGTCGCTGTGGCAGGGCTTCTGGCTTTCTCAGGGCCGAGTAACATTTCATCATGCGGTGTCCGTGTCGTGTATTCTGTGTGATGTTCTTCACTCATCCACCTGTGGGCACCTGGGTCGTTTCCATGTCTTGGCTGTTGTGAACAGCACTGCATGAACATGGGGAGCGGACATCGCCTCAATACCGATTTCAGTCCCTTGGATAAATCCCCGGAAGTCCAACTGCTGGGTCGTACCGAGCTCTATCTTTAATTTTTTGAGGAAGCTCCATACTGTTCTCACAGCGGCTGCACCACTGACGCTCCCAGCCACAGTGCACGGGTCCCCTCCACGTCCCACCGCCCTTGTCATCTCTTGTGTTTTTGATGACAGCCACTCTGACAGATGCGAGGAGGCATCTCATTGTGGTTTTGACTTGCATTTCCTTGATGTTGAGCACCTTTCTTTGCTGGCCATTTATTTGTATGTCTTCTTTAGAAAATGTCTCTTAAGGTCCTTTGCCCATTTTTTACATTGGATTATTATTATTTTTTCTATTGAGTTATAGGAGTTCCTTGTACACTTTGGATATTAGCAGATATAAGATTTGCAAATATTTTCTCCCACCCATCCATCATCCATCACCCACCCACACACGTGTGTGGAGCTCCTCCTTGGGCCACACGCCATTATGGCAGGCAAACATGGAACTCAGCCCCAGCTTAGGTGGCTCTGCTCTCAGTACGGCTGGCTCTTTGGCTGCCCCCAGGCACGATGCCCACCCAGGAGACAGAAGAGGACAGCCACCTGCAGATGGACAGGATCCGGGCCCAGCTGGTCGGGGCCTTCAAGGAGCAGCTGGAGATGAGGCGCAGCCTGGTGGAGCTGGAGAATGCCAACGTGGAGCTGCATATCGACGCGTCTCGCCACCTGCTGGCCATCGCAGAGTGAGTGCGCGGCCGCGGGCACCGCCCAGGGCCCAGCGCTGCTGTCCCCACGGGGCAGGCGACCAACGGGGACCACTGGACCGGTGGGGCCGGTGGCGGGAGCTCCCTTTTTTGCTACTGTCCAGCCTCCCTCTGTTGCCTGCAGGACCTCTGGCCCAATCCTGCCCCTGCCGCTTGGCTGGACCCAGGGGAAAAGGCCTCCAGGTGCCTCGGACCGCCCTCATTCGCTCCGAGGGGCCGCAGGTTTGCCCGAGGCAGTGCTTCCGCTGGCCAGGGCTCCTGCGCTGCTCCACACACACTCCCTGTCCATCCCACTGTGAACAGGCTGACCCTGTGCAGAGGGACTGGCCACCGGGTTCACCATCCAGACAGGGATGTGCGTGAGGGCCACAGGGCTGTCAGCTCCACTGGGACAGCAGGCTCCACCGGCTGCCCGGACAAGCTGGAAGGCACAACCGCCCGTGCGGGGGGCCGGCGCACAGTGCTGCGGTTCCAGCCTGTTCTCCCCCGCCCCCACTCTCCCTCCCCTCCCCTTCCTCATTTCCTTCCAGTTTTTGTTCATACCTTTTGTTTTTTACAAATATAGAAGAGGTTGTACAGAAGACCCAGTTCTGCCCCGTTTTTATGCCCATGCCTGCAAGGAGACCAGCTGGCACCAGTAGGGGCTCTGGGATGGAAGTGCCAGGACCCCAAGACTGGCACAGCTTGCACTCTGACCCCTGACCCCTCTGTCATGGCTGCAGTTGGGAGCGGGAGAAGACCCAGCACCATACCCAGGACAGGACACCCGAGGGGGACGAGGAGCAGATGGTGGCCGACACAGACATGGACGCGAGCAAGTCCACAGAGCCGCACGAGGTGGCCCTGGCCAGAGAGGAGGTCAACATGCTGTTAGCCGAGCAGCGGAAAACCGTGGCCCTCAAGGTGGGGAGAGCGATGACTGTCACTGGCGCTTACCGATCACTGCTGGGGCCCTGGGCCATCTCACAACAGCCCACGCCACAGGCCCAATCACTCTTCCCTAGATGGGAGACCGAGCCGCAGGGGGATTGGACACGTCCCAAGTCCCCGGGAGCAGGAGCAGACCTGGGCCCTGGCGCGTCTGACTGCAGAGTCCACGTCCCTGCATGTTAGGGTCGTGGCTGCTCTCGGGGCTGCAGAGCCGGTGCAGGGCAGAGACCCCTGGGGACAGAGGAGGCAGAGGCTGTGGCACCATTATGTCCACTGTGGATGGGCAGCAGGCCCCTCTGCCTGGACGGCCCAGCCTCCAGCTCGCAGAGGCCCTTGGCAGTGACCCGCCACGTGCGAGCAAGCCCGCCCCTCGGCCGGGCGCTTTCCACCAACGTCTCCATTAGTTCCACGAGTCTGGTCTTGGGCATGTGACATGAGGACAGGGACATGGCCGACTCCAGGGTCCTCTCTGGACAGTGGCGTCTTCTTACACTGTCGTCTCTTGAGAAGAGCGAGGTGATTATGTAACAGCTAGTCGTACGATGGTCCCATGGGGACTGCGGGGAAGCTGCTGGGCCGCAGGCTGCGCCCAGAGCACTGGTTAGACGTCTGCAGGCAAGCGGAGAAAGCGTTTGGGGAGGCCATGCTGCCGAAGGCAGGCAGCGTTTATTTCCCGGAAAAGCTGTGGAAAAAAGCCAAACCAAGATCCTAGTACCGCCGCCTCTGCTGCCGCAGATTGGAGATACGTGATCCCACCTCCAATGTGAGGAACAGCCTTGTGCTCAGACGGACAGTGCGCCCTGGCAGAGAGCGTGACCTGCAGGAGCCGAGTGTGGGTGATGAGATGCAGTGTAGCACGTAAATGCGAGTCTTTAATTAATTAGTCAATCAATCAATCAATCAATCACTCAAAATAAGTCAACATTTTAAGGGTGCAGCTCAATGCCGGGCCCTGGGGACTGAAAGATGAACAGGAGCCTCGGCGACTCAGGCTCACAACCCATGGAAAAACACAAGCACAACTACAGCTCAGTGTGGGAGCTTGGTGTAGACGCAGGAACTGGCTTTTGGGGAGCTGGATGAGGGGCTGCGCTCTGGTGACTGCCAGAAGGAGGGGAGCAAGGTGGGCCCCTCTCGGTCCCAGAGGGTGGAGACGTGAAGGCCGGAGCGCGTGCCTGTGGCTGCTGACCTGAGCCTGGCACGGCCCCGGGGACGAGCATGCTGGGCTGCTGTGGGCAGCGCCACGGGGGCCTGGAGGCAGTCATGTGCTGTGGTGGTCAGTTGGTATCAGTCAGCTTGGCTGGGCTCTCGTGGCCGGTGATTCAGTCAAACACTGGTCTGTAGGTGTGGCTAACATCTACAGTCACTCGACTGTAAGTAAAGATGACCTAGATGGTGAGTGGGCCTCAACCAATCAGTTGAAAATCTTACCAGCAAAACATGTTTCCTAGTAATTTTGCCTCAGGACTGCAGTGGCAGCCCTTGCCTGGGTGTCCAGCCTGCTGGCGGCCCTGCGGACCTCTGACTTACCAGCCCATAGTCCCGTGAGCCATTTCTTTAAACTATATCTTTTTGTGAGCATGTATGTGTATAAGCACACGCACAAACGTCCATAATGCATGTGTTTGTGTCGTGTGTGTGCACACATGCACACACATATGCAAATGTGCACGAATATGTTACTCTTTCCTACTGCTTCTGTCTCGGGAGCCCTGACTGACACACAGGGCAGGTTGCAGGCCACAGGCGGGTCTCACGGAGCTCCTAGCTGGCTTCCTGTGGCAGGAGCAACCCCCTACGGAGCTGGACAAGTGGGGCCTCATGTCTCCTGCTCCTGCTTTTGGTGTGGAGCCAGGGCCTCGGCTGTAGACAGGAGTCTGTGATGTGCCCTGTGGGGACAGAAGTGGCGTGTGAAGTCTCCGTAGTGTGGACACGGGCAGCGCTGGCTTCCCATGGCAGACGCACTATGGGGGGCCCTGGGATCACGTCCGAAATAGTGTTTTGGTAGAAGATTCGAGGCTTTCCTATAGTGAGGCCGACAGATAGGAGATGACTCACAGAAAAGACAGTTTGTCCTCACAGTTCACAAGAGGAGGGGACACGCCATGCCACTCAGAGCCACACGGGGGAGCACCAGGGACAGGAACAGATATGAATCTTCACCGTGGGAGGAACGAGCGAGGCAGGGTGAGCGGGCTCAAGACCGGCTGCTGTGGGCGGCTGCAGTGGGCTGTGCGGCCTGGGTCTGCCCTGCTCGTCTGGTCCCTAGGTGAGAGGGCAGGTGGCCAGTGGCCGGGCTGTGAGCCCACCGAGGAGGGGTGGACAGGCTCCGGCAGGGGGTTTGCGTCTGAAAGGGGTGCTCCTGGCAAGCGGTTCGGTCTCGAGGCTTCGGCTGACCCTGGAGGGGCAGTCCCAGCGCCCAGATGCTCGGGCACCAGAACATAGAGAAGAAAAGGCTAGGTGAATGCAGAGTGCTGCCATACGTGCTCAGAGCCGATCACCGCGTGTGTCCGCGAGTTCAGTGTGCAAACCTGAGCCCGTAGGAATGAGCGGGCGTGGGAGCAGAGACCCCGGGCCTCTGCCCTGAGCTCCTGGCCTGTCTGCTAGGCAGAGCTGGAGCAGCGCCTGGCCTGCGCCAAGAAGAAGGCCTCGCAGCTGGAGGAGCTGCTGCCCGCGCAGGCCATCAGCGAGGACCAGAGGGAGGTGCTGCGGCTGCTGTGCAGGGTGCACGAGCTGGAGGTGGAGAACACCGAGCTGCAGGCCAGCAGCCTGCGCAGGAAGAACCTGCTGTGCCAGAAGGACTTCGTCATCCAGGGCTTCCACCAGCACCGGCTGCTGGGCGAGCGCATCATCCGGGGCCAGCGGCAGCTGATTCAGGGTGAGGCCCGCCCCCGCCCCTTGGCTGGGAGGGTCCTTTCTGCGGGCTCCCGGAAGGGAGTGGGCAGTGCAGGGGTCAAAAAGTCCCAGTCCCTGTGACACCCCAGCCTGCTCCCTCCGCCCGCCCCGCTGCTCCCAGTCACCGGCATACCCCGCGGGCCCGCGAGCCTGGGTCTTAACTGTGTTTTCCACTCACAGAAGCGCGCCGCGCACACCGTTCCGTGCTTTGCCCTCTCTCACTTACCTGTGTCTCCCGGGAAGGGCTCTGTGAGCGTGCGGTGACACCTGCAGAGGCAGTCCAGTCTGTGAACCATCTCCGCTGGTGACTGCTTAGGTTTCCTGCAGCCTCACGGTCCCACGACCCGCCGTCTGTCAGGCCCCGGGCACAGCGGGCACCCGCTGCCGTGGGCAGCGTGCAGGCCCCGCCCCTCCCCCCAGCTCCCGCCCCGGACCTCTCCAGTGCTGACACTCTGTGCTGACTGACTGGGTTTGAGGCTGACAGAAAAGTTGCAGGCTGCAAAGAATTCCTCCAGGTTCCAAGTGTTAACATTTTTCATTTTTGCTTCATGTTTCTGTCTCTCTCGAAACGTTTTTTGATACTCGTTAATGCTTCAGGGCATATTTGCTAAAACAAGGGTGTTCTCTTCCACGAACATGGACAGTAACATGGACCGAGGCTTCAGTCCAGGTGTGTGCACGTCTGCATGTGAGCACATGTGCCCGTGTCTGTACACACGTGACAGCATTTCCGAGCTTGGTGTGCTCAGATCATCATCATATTTTTATCGTCCACACTCATTAAAGTTTTCCTTGAGGAGGCATCTCACAGTTCCTTTCATCATGAAAAAAGCATATCATTTTTAAAAAGCTATAACAACATCACAGAATGTTTTAGAAAAGAAAACAGTTTACTTATAACCCAGCTACCTTTCCACTCCCTGCCTATGCGCAGTCAAGTGTCGCCAGAGCTGTAATTATGCCATCTTTCAGTTTCTTAACGTTTTTTAAACTGAGGTAAAAGTTGCATAACGAAATTCAGCGTTTTAGCCATCGTAAAGAGCACCCCGGTGCCTTCCCAGAGCTGCCGCCATCGTCTCTACCGCCACAGGAGCTCTGGGAACCCGCAGACCACCCCGCTTTCCCTCCGTCCAGCCCTTGATGACCACTAATTGGCTCTCTGTCGCTAAGGGTCTTCTCGTTCTGACCTTTCATGTAAACGGAATCAGGGAAAGGTCACAACATGTGACCTTCTGTGACCAGCTTCTCTGGTTCAGCGTGATGTGTTCGGGGTTCGTCTGTGCCCCCCTCTTCGTGGCTGAGTATTGTCCCATCGCTACCTCGCACCTCGTGTCCACTCACCGGCTGCCGGCCGGCCGGGCTGGTTCCGCCTTTGGGACGTTGTGCACAGCTGCTGTGAGCATACAGGGCACGCTTTTGTTTGAACACCTGTTTTCAGCTCTTTTGGGTGGACCTGAGACATGTTTCTTTAACTTTTAAACTTAATGTTATTCATGCTGTCGGTGGTTAGTGCTGCTTTATGCCAAAAAGACAACACGTGACGTGACAGCACAGTCACCGGCTGGGGAGAAACATAAAGGGGCGACCACAGGAGCCCCCCAGAGAAGTACAGGTCACAGCACTTGCCTTCCAGCAGTGACAGGGGAGTCTGCCCTTACCCTGCCCCTTTCTCCCCTCCGCTCCCGCAGACAGCGGCATCCGGGTGCCCGCCCCGCTGGACGAGTGCTACGGCCTGTACTCGCGCGAGCTGGGCGGCGGCTCGCTGAACCGAACCG